CGAGGACCTCTGCCATTTTCCTTTCCCAAGATCTCTCTTTTCTCCTGACAGTATTACCTTCTTTTGGGAAAATGCTCCTCCCTCTGCTCTGACGACATAGATCTCATGGGCGTGGCCCATTGCACATAGGGCGTGACAGCCACATGATCCAGGACCAAGGAACTGCTGGATTAGTCTAATCCTGAGGAGGGTAAGAACGAGCCCTGGAGTGGCAGGCCGCAGGGGTGGGTCTGCAAAGTTTTCCACACTGGCCTGAATATAAGGTGTGATTTAAAATAGTACAATAATCCAGAGTTCAACTCACATTCTGAACCTTGAGGGATTTTTTTATTTCTAGGAGGAAAATATAAAGAGGAAGATTTCAAGCCTGGGTTTTAAAACTTTGAGGTACTTTTGTTGTTTGTTTTTAAATAGACTATTCTGATACTTTCTTTTGTATTATTCTTTAATTGCCAAAGGGCATGTCCACTTGACAGAGAGAGGGAGAGAAGCACCCTCCCAGTGGGGTGTGGTCACACCACAATCCCTTCTCCGTTTCTCCATCCTATTGGGATTCGGGGACACATACATCTGTGCTGTGTATTTTTAAAGCTGCTGGGGCTGGGATTCAAACATGTGGTTGGCCATGTGGGATCCAGCTCCCTTAACCACCAGGACACAGGGCTGGCCCCATTCTGACGCTTTTAAAAGAAAGTAAATTTCAAGAAACTAGTTCATCTAAGGCAAAAACAAAATTTCTTTTCAGCTACAGAAATGTCAATGTGAGGATATAGGAGAATATTATAAACAGCAAATCCCTACAGTAGAATCTCTCAGGAACATAATTTGTAGCTCCTCACAAGTCAGACGGCGTCTTTGCCATCTATAAAGTTTTCTTCTGCAAGAAGTACCCCTTACATTCTTTTAATTAGACTAATATAGCATTTTTTTAAAGGTTTTTTTTTTTTTTTCCATAGGGTGTATGTGCTCCCTGCAGAGAGACAGAGAGAGGGAAAGTGAGAAATCATCCCCTGGGGGGATAGCCATGCCTCAGTCTTTTCTCTTCCATTCTCTCAGGATTTTGGGCATGCACGCACACGCCTGGTGTGATTTTCAAGCCACCAGGTCCAGGACTCCAACCATCGTCGGCCATGTGGGAGTGGCAGCCTCTTATACACTACGCCACCTGCTGGCCCCAGCATTATTGTTCTTTTTCATTGCCAGAGGGTGCATGAACGCATCAGAAAAAGACTGATAGAGAGAGGGAGAGATGAGAAAGCACCTCCCAATGGAGTGTGATGGTACTGCAAGTCCTTCTCTATTTCTCAATCCTGTTGGGATTCTAGCTATGCACACACATGTGCACAGAGTTTTTCAAGCTGCTAGGGAAGGGATTAAAATTGCAGTCAGCCAAGTAGGATTCCCGCTCCCTTAACACTAGGCTACGGGGCCAGCCCACAGCATTATTTTGACCACTGCGGTTGTCACTATTTTAGTATGCGCTGCCCACTGAAAGGTAGAAACTGAAACACTTCAATTTTCCCTGTGTTATTTTATTACTGTGTTCTTGCCTGATTCAGTACTTATGTCTTATGCTGAGTCTCTAAGACAATGAGAAGTCTCTTATTTCTGGAGTGTAGCTTTCCCCTTGGGGATCCTGCCTCTGGAGAGCCAGGCTCTACAGCTAGGATGCTGGGCTGAGCTCCTGGGCTTTCTCAGCCTCTGGAGAGACTAGTTCAGAGGAGGGCAGAAAAACAGATGGGTCCTTGAGCGAGTACACAGGTGATTGTGGATAGTTATTCTCTTTGGTGACTGCAGCCGTGAGACGTCAGGCTGCAGTAATAATATAAATTAGGCTATTGATGTCCACAGGTGTATCACAATCTTCTACTGAACATAAATGAGCTCTCCTAAAATTCTGTGGAGTACATTGTTACAATAGGAGCACTGTGTTGAACTGCTCTTTTTTTTAGAGAGATTTTTGCTATAGGTGCATGTACTCACTGAGAAGAGAGAGAGCGAGCGAGAGAAATCACCCCCAGGGGGCATGGCCATGCTGCAATTCCTTCTCCTCCAGTCTCCTTTTGGGATTTTGGACACACACGCACATGGACTCAGTGTGTTTCAAGCCGTCGGGTCCAGGACTTGAGCAGCAGTCAGCCATATGGGAGTCTAGCGCCTTAACCACCACGCCACCTGCTGGTCCCTACATGCTCTTCTTAATGAACAGCAGAGCTGCTCCTTTCTGGCCTGTGCTTTGGCTGCCTTTGGTCTGCTGGTCAACCGCTAGGTAGTCTGTGATAACTGCCTTCAGGAATATTAGGGACTGACTCCATCCATAAAGAGGTGGAGCCGACAGGTGATGGATCCAGGCTGTAATGTATTATCTGAAGCAGCTTTTAAGTGGCAGATACCATTTTGTCCTGACAGTTGTAGCTGGCCACTTATATAGGGGCCTGAGACTTAACAGAGTAAGCCTATGGGTCAGTCCTTCTACAGAGGGGGCTGTGGTTACTATTGCTCCGAGTCTCTTCCTCAGCCTCCTCAGGCAATAAAACATTATCCAGAAACTTGCTCCCTGTAACAGCCTGCAGCAGCTAGACTGCTGAAGCCACCGACTGCAGCGCACCTCACATATGACACTCATTGTTACCGGGCACTGGGGCCTCATGCACTCAGTTGACTCAGAGTGACAAAACCACTCAACCAAGAGAAGAACTCAGATGAAGTAAAACCCGACTTAACAGATGGTGTTCCTAAAATGAACATAAAAACCTATAAGCTGGGACCAGCAATTGGTGGAATGGCTATGTCGCTGGACTCCCATGTAGTCGACTGCCGTTCGAGTCCCAGACCCGGTGGCTTAAACTCCTGAGAGGCGTGTGTGCGCGTTTGCCCAAGACTGCGAGAGGAAAATGGAGGAAAAGAGATTGCAGCATGGCCATCTCCCCTGGGGATAATTTCTTGCTTTCTGTCTCTCTACCTCTCTCCATCTTTCTGGTGAGCACACGCGCCCTATAGCTAAAACTTCTCCAAAAATAAATAAACAAACAAACCTTTAAGCTAAATTCTTTTTTTAACCCCCCTTGTCTCCCTGGGTTTGAAATGGAAACATCGCTGGTTCAAAGCCTGAGTCTGGATGCTTTGTGTGTTTAGCATATGTAATTACTGACTAAAGACAGAGAGGGTTATTGTAATATCTAGGTAGTGGAAGAGTTTAACAAAAGTTTTATATTCTATAAGCCTTCTGTTCTTCCTTGAGCAGGTATTATTCATAAATTATTCTCTGCCTCTTCCTCACTTTTAAAAATTACAGTTTTCTTCCTAAATAATAAAAACAGTATATCAAATCCTCACATAAATCTCACAAGGTAGGTATTATTATTGTACCTACTTCACTGATAAAAATGAGCAGACATGTGTTCAACTTTAGGTAAGAGTCAGGATTCAAACTCAGACAGTCTGGCTCAAAATCCTATGCTCTCGTGCCCTAAACCACTCAAGTCTGCCCCAAAGCAGCAGCTCGGCTACCTTCCTGCTAGAAGTGTCTTAACAAGGCTGTCTGCAAGAGCTCTTACCTGGTCAGGTGCCGGGCCTCCAAGTGGAAAACGCTAATCTCTGACTTGGGAAGCTCCCACCTCCACTTTTCCAGGGCAGCCCTCGGGTTTCCTCCTCAGTCTCCTTCGAAGGTGATTTCCCAAACACACTTGATAATAACAACCACCTGGAATACTTGTTAAAAACGGAGCTTCTCAATGGCTGGCCCTTCGTTCAGAAATTAAAGGAGCTGGATCCCACACAGCCGACTACGGTTTGAATCTTGGCCCTAGCAGCTTGAAAAACACACTGCCCGTGTGGTGCTCAGCATCCTGACAGGACAGCGAAGTGGAGGAAAAGGGCTTGCAGTGTGACCATGCCCCACTGGGGAGTGCTCGCTCTCTCTCTCGCTCTCTCTCTCTCTGAAGTGAATGCATGCACATGCCTCTGGCAATTAAAAAAAAATGCTGCTTCTCAGGATCCTAGTCCTGGAGATTCCAATTTACTAGGTCTGATATGGCCCAAGAAATCTGTATTTTTTAACAAGCAGCCCAGGTGATCTTTCTTATCAGTCAAGCTTGAAAAAACGTTGCTCTGGGAGTTTTAGCCAATGGGAGCAACCATTGCTGATCTTCAGTATTACATATTAGGTCAAAATAGTATTAAGTAGATGACATTTCTGTAGCCGAATTAATCCAAGGCAACCAGGACATATGGCACAAAGTGCTTTTATTCAGGAAGGACTCGAGGGTGGGTTGGAATGTCTTTGTGGTTTTTCCTTTGAGTGATGACTGTTAGAGAGAATTCTTTAATGGTTGTGCCCTTGAGGGAGCTTCTGCACGGCTCTGGTCCTACAGCGCTTAAATCAAATAGAAAGGAAGCCATTTTATATCGTTCTTTTAAGTCCTGCCTAAGAGAATTCGGGAAGGGAGTAAATTAAATAAAGAGGAGAAAGGAGTATACAATTCTTGTTCCTCGAAGGATCCTAAAGCACACTGCTTGCATAACTAAGAGAGGGACTCGGGCTTCCATCGTAAATGTTTATGAATCACAGACCGAGTACTTTAGGAGACTATTTTATGAAGGATGACTTCAATTTACATAGTTTAAAAAGAAAGCAGAAATGATCTTTGACACGCAAATGCAAAACTGTTGAAATTCATGACTATCAAAATATCATTTAATGTTAAAAACGATCTCAAACAAGCCTAATCTGCTCCGACACTATGTTCACTGCTTGTCACAAATGAAGTTTCCACCTGAGGCACCACTCATAGCCACACTTCAGTTGCTGTATTTATGAGTTGGGGATGGGAGGGGAGAAAGGAAGATAAGAACCAGAAAATAATATTAAAAGACAGTCAAAGTAAGAGAAACCGGCTTTCTGGCCCTGCAGAACTACATCTCAGGCCTCATTTGGAAGGGGGATGCTACAGGTCAGGAGCAGGGGCCAGGCCTGAGTCTGGGGCACATGGCATACCTACCTCTTGGTGGGAGTGGGCACTCCGGAGGACACGTGGCTCACCATGGTGTCATTCATATTAGTCAGTGGGCGAGGAGGACTGGAAGAAAAGACATTGACATCGTATTAATAATTACCAACACGAGGAGGGGAAACCATAAAGACTGAGAAGGGCCAAGGAACCGGCCATCGTTCCTGATAAGTGCAGTGGGACCCGCAGGAGTGGGGGTGGAAGTCGATCCTTAAAGCCTAAATTCAAGCAGAAGGGCTTTGGTCCAACAAAGCCACAGGACTCAGGAGCTGTGGGGTGGAGGGGAGGTAACAAATTATAAACGCGCACTACAGACACGACTTCAGTGGCTTTGCTGTGTAAGTTCTAGGACATGGGAATCTGCATTCTGCAACTTTTCTCCGTCTTTGGTCCAGCATTACTAGGTATTTGGCACTTGCTGTATATTGTGAAAGTTATAACATTAAAGTGCATCCTGAGATTTGGTTAGAGCTCACTGTCAACCCTCAGATTTAGTTTGCAAACTTTTTACCGAAACATTCCATTAAACGCTTAATTCAAAACTAAGTCTGGGACCAGCAGTTAGCATAATGGCTATGTTGCTGGACTCCCATGTAGTCGACCGCGGTTCGCGTCCTGGACCCGGTGACTTAAGACTCACGTCGGGCGCGTGTATGTGCATGCCCAAGATCCCAAGAGGAGAAGGGATTGCGGTGTGGCCATCTCCCCTGGGGGGTGATTTCTCGCTTTCTATCTCTCTGTCTCTGTCTGTCTGGAGAGCGCACACGCCCTATAGCAAAAAAACCTCTCCAAAAAAAAAATTAAAAAATAACAAAGTCTCGAGCAAATTTAAATGAATGCTTTACTAGGATCTTAACACTGAATCTAAATTTTATACCTACACCTTAAATAGAATGCTGACTTTTATAACTTAGTCCAAATGTAAACGTGAGGGCAAGCACTTTTGGCAACTTGTTTTCAGCTGCTGGTTTTCTGGACTCAAGTTTTACTTCTCTCTCTTGTGAGAGTCCTGAATAAATGAGCCCAAACTTATCAAAAGGAGTCCATTATCTTGCCTTCCAGCCTTCTTCAACCCCTCTCCCTCCCTACAAGGTTCAGCTACAAAAGGGTTCTGTCTTGCAGCTGGAGCTACAGGACTATTGCTAAATATTCCTCCTGGGAAATCGCTTGCTTCCTCTTCTAAACTGAATGGAGTACTTCAGGGAGAGTTCTCCATCAGAAGCAGAAAAGCGAAGCCAAAAGTCCTCTCATATTTCGGTCCTGGTTTCTCCTCCTCTTAAAGAGCAGAGTTAATTTCGTAAGATGTAGTCGTACTGGTTACACTGCAAATGGCGGTGACTTTTGAGGGACTGCAGGCTTTACTACTGACATTTTGCAGATTTTATACTACTGTACAATCAAATAAGGCTCGAGGGTGGTACTTTAGGGAGAGCCAAAGAACTGAGAGGGATCTTTCTCTCCACCTAGTTATGTATGTACCCTCCTCCCCTTTCTAAAAAACAATTTCATTTCTGGGTAAGGGAATGATTTCTTAGGTCGGCCAGTAGCACACAGGTAAGGTAGCCAGATTCCACATGGCTGACTATACGGTTTGAGTCCCAGACCTGGTGGCTTGAAACAAATATAATAAATAAATAAATAAAAAGATATTTAATGGAGAGGATCCGAGATGGAAAGTAATTTCCTGGGAATAATTTAGGCCTCTTGATTTTAAAGCCACAGTACAGTGCTTATTGTTCTACACCTTCCTCTCTTTGTCTGGTAAGTCCCTAAGTAAGAAATTCAGAACTGAAATACACCTTTCTAGGCTACAAGCCAATTTCTGGTTATTTATCTGACTACCCGTCTTCCAGACAGAAATCTAGTTTGCCCCCAAACTTCCATCCGTATTCGTGTTAGTGGCTACGCTATATTATAACCAATAATTTTAGGTTAACCAATAATGAAAGTGAACACAGAAATGAGCTTATTTTAAGTCCTAAATTTATAGTTTTGCCTCTGGTTCTTTTAAATTAATTGTCCAACTGGAACAATTCCTGTGAAAGAACCAAATCCAGCATAACAGCTTTTCCTACTTAAAGGCACTAGAAACAATCTGATCATGGAAACAGAACAGACTTTGCTTTTTTAACGTATTATTAGCTAGCCTTGTCCAAAGTAAGATAAAGGCATTTCGTGTTGCTTTCAGAATAACTGTTACCTAGTACATTTCAATATTGAACCTACTATAGCATTCAATTTCCTTTCTGACATTCTCATGGAAAAATGACAACTGACAAACACAATTTTAATTCATTAAACACAGATGCATGTGATTAGATTTCATGATGTGTGGCATTTTGTTTGGTCTGATGCCACCAAAGTCTTCATAATCATCTCCATCTTTTGGCAGATATGTTCGACTATCATCTTTCAGCACACATAATATTCAAGACTGGGCAGTAATCCATTCCCCAAATTTCATACCCTTTCTGAACCCCTAACATATTTTGCTAGAGGGACAGGTGTGTGTTTGCAGTTCAAGATGAAAGCAATATTTGTAATAGTAAAGGAGCTCTTTCCTGGGGGGTCTCTAGGGACTACTGCCATAAATCCTGTGAAAGGCAGCAGCTAAGATGTGTTCTTAGAAAGATATAATACATCAAAAATGACTTCTGGTTCAAAACCAAAACCTTCATGCTTCTTGTAAGACTTAACTGAAAAGAACGTCCAGGTGTGGAGTGGATGTATAATGATACAAGTTATAGAAACTTACAAAGCAGTAGAGCTGACACAACTCATCATATTGGTTTTGCTGATCATTAGCTTCTAAAACTAGGTGAATACTCTGACTGTGTCACCACGTATTCTGTATCTTCCTTTGATAAAGATCTCAGCAAGGTATCTTACAGACACTAACGAGTTCCATGATACCAAAATGGCCACCAACCATTGCTTGGTTCAGAAATTTAGGAGGTTTCTTCTTCATTAGCAAGATAAATCAATGTTTGTTTTGTTTTGTTTTGTTTCCTTCCTTCCTTCCTTCCTTCCTTCCTTCCTTCCTTCCTTCCTTCCTTCCTTCCTTGCTCTCTCTTTCTTTCTCTCTTCTTTCTTTCCTTCATTCATTCCTTCTTTCTTTTTCCAAGAGGAGATACAAAGGTAGATGATACAGGTAGAGGAAATTTGATACATCCGAAGAGGTGGCTATAAAATAACATGCAGTGTGGGAACAGCAGGTAGCATGGTGGTTAAGGGAATGGATCCCACATGGTTGACTCCACAGTTTGAGTTCTGGACCCGGAGGCCTGAAAATCATGCCAGGGACGTGTGCATATATACCCAAAATCTCAAGAAGAAAATGGATAAGGAGGGACTGCAGTGTGGCCATCCCCCTGGGGGGTGATTTTTCACTTTTGCTCTCTCTGTCTGGGGTGGGGGGAACATACAGGCCTTAAGGAAAAAAAAAATCTACGAAACAAAAAAAAATGGAGAGTATTTGTTGGTTCTTAATCAAAAGG